CCTGGAGGTATTTAAAAGCTGTGTAGATGCAGTGCTTAAGGACATGGTTTAGTGGTGGACTTGGCAGTGTTAGGTTAACAGCTGGACCCGATGATCTTAAAGGCCTTTTCCAACCTAAATGATTCTGTGATTCTTGCAGCAGTATGATTTAAAGAAATGCTGTTCACCTTTTTCTGGTGCTATTCCTATACACCTAGGACTTGATCTGTCTACAGCTGGTGCACAAGTACACTGTTCTTATTCCCACTCGCAACAGAGCTGTTACATCAAATTGTTTTGCACTGGCAACCATGCTAGTCCTCTTACTTCTGCTACAAAGCTTTTACACTGACTTGTGAGTATTCAGGATTTTCTAGAAAGTTGTCAGAGTTGGTTTCTGTTTCAAGGACTGAGAATCATTCAGTATCTCAAAGTGACAGAATAGCTGGTGGTTTTTTAAACAGTGACCACTCTGTCCAAATCTTATTTTTCTATAAGACCAGAAATACCTGGTCTTATAGAAGGTACCTTCCAGACCATACCTACTTTCTCTTCATAAAAGTCAGGGCCAACATTTTGAACACATGGTTCTGAATGTTACAGAACAACGTTTTTTTAAAAGTAATGAGTGCGTAGTTATGTTTCAGGGTTGATTCGTAGCGACGCTATTTTATCCCAACTTCCAATCACGCTGCAGGTTGCTCATCAAGTTTGAGAAATGAATCCACAAGTATCTGATTTTTTAAAAGCTAAACAACACTTAAGAAAATGAGGCAACAGGAAAACAAATCTTTGGGGACAGAATAGCTGCTGGTCTAAGCCAAAGTTCACTGCTGTCCATGGAGGGGTTTTAGTGACTCCAAGATGCCTCATGGCTGGCCCCTGAACACGAAGGATGGATGCAGCTGCTTATGTCACTGAATGTCCCTGGTAGGACACAGCAGCAACAGCAGGCTTTTTGACTTGCTTCCAAATACCCTGGGTATTGGAAGGGGTTTTCTTCAGTGATACCATAATCTTGTTCTTTTAAAAGCCAAGCTGTCTTCGGAATGGGCTAGCACCATTTATCATAGCCATCTTGATGGGCAACACAAATTCAGGTATTCTCAGTTTTAGTTTGGTGAAGAGCATTCTCACTTTTAAGTTACAATCGGAAATCCTGAACACAATGAATTTATCCAAAGAATGCTGTACAACTAAATGCCAAACAATGAAAAGAATAAAAATCTTGCAAACAGCAAGAATTCAGGATCCAAGAACTAAGGTAAAAGGTTATTGCTGAGTAATTCTATTCAGGAACTCAATAAATGTAACACAAACCAACCAGAAATAATGTCCCATATCAGTCTGATGGCAACTGCTTAACAAAGGAAGACTTCTGCTTCCTTAAAATCCTTATGCATCTTACTATTTTTTGTCTAAAGAATATATTGCTTTCTCTCTATTGCTCTGAGTTTACTCAGCAGTTCATAGTACCCACAACATGGAGAATTTTATTGCTTTTGTGCTAAAAACATATTTCCCCTTATTGCTGAAATCTTACTGTTAGGAGAAATAGTTTAAAAAAAAAAAAAAAAAGACAATTAAAAAAAAATCCTTTCCCAAGCTTTGCGGATGAATATACAAAAGATCCTAATTACAGTAAATTTTTCCCATCAGGATACAGCCTGTTACTAACTTCAGGTCAAGCGTGTTAATAAATAAAAATGAACTTCAACTCTTTAAACTAAATTACACGTTAAGAAAAAAGTCTTTTGTCATTACGATGGAGATACGACAGACACCTCACTGTACATAGAATGGTGAATCTAACACCGCTGGTCTTATGCACAGGTGTTGTTTAACAGGACAACAAAATCACAGAATCCTCCAAGCCGGCTGGATTTCTGCCAGTTTCAGAGAGATCTTGGATGGATACTGGCACCTCATCATACAGAACCAGGGCCTACACTGTAACTCTGAGGTGACTGCAAAGAATTGCTTAATTCTGCAGGGTTTGAAAAGCAGCTGTCTGCCAAACATTTCTTCTTGTGCAGGTGAGATAGGCAGCTTTGTACCCAAGAGTTCATTCACAGGTGTGTAAGACAGCATCTACACAGTATCTACATCTACACAGACCGAAAGTTTGGTCCGACAGCTGTGGGCAAACCTCTGTCACTGACTTCCAGAATGATTTTCTGGCCTCTGCTGTACAATTCCAATTTAAGATACATTTCTGGAAGAGACGACATCTTCACTGGAGGTCACAGCAGTAGCCTGGGAGGCATAACCATGTTTCTCATCTGTTTGTAGTGAAAGGTAACCACGTGCTACACCTCAAACGAGGGCAAATGACATCCCTGTGAGCTAGCTTTGTGGGACCTCTATAATTAATCCTTATCTCCTCCGTTTGACTTGCGCTGCTCCTCAGGAGAGGAGCTTGGAATTACAAATCTCTCTGCTTTGGCACGAGGAAAAGGTTGGCTCCCCCAGCACGCTGGAGAGCCTCTGCAGATTTGAGCAGCCTGTGGCATAAGGAAGATGACAGGGACACTAGGTGAACCAGCATGAGAAGAGGGGACAACACCATTTCCCTCTGTGCTGTTTTTTTTCTGGCTTCCCTACCACCCAGGTGTGGTGGAGAGAAAAACACTAGTGCCTGGGAGGTTATCCAGAGGATGAGAACAGGTCTGCATAAGCAGCACAACAGTTGCCCTCAGGACTGAAATCTGGTCACAGTTGTAGCTGCTTATCCTCATCACACTTTTTAGCCATTTGATACAGAAGAACAATGGGGGAAAATAAAGGGCAGGGGGCGAAACTTTGCATGACTTTAACTTATTTTTTGTTTTAAAAAGTGCCGCTCTACGTTATTCAGCTCATGACTTTTACTGCCGTTTACTCCCAATGCTTTGCATACTTGCAAAACTGCATGCATACATAGCATGGATACTTATGAAGTGATTATTTCTTATACAAAAATTCATAACTAAACAGGAACAAGGCAATGACTAGAGTTTCATTAGCATTCAGAAGTAGATAAAGAACACCAATATCCTACACCGAGCAGGGGCCATAGTCTAACTGTGCTGAGCATCTGTAAATCACAGTGAAGCCAAGGGAGCTGCAAGTTCACAGCTCTACTGGACCATGCCATGCAATTACTAAACTAATCAGATTACAAAGTAAGAGCCAAATATCATGAAGATTGAACCGAGTAAATAATGGAATTTGAACCCAGCATTGCAACTAAAATTAATTATTGCTCATAAAAATCTCTACAGAGCCTTGTTTACAGACAACTCATTCACATTTGAGATTCAGCTTTGTGTGTAGCGTATGATTCTTAATGTCACAGAAACTGCCACAAAAAGCTACAGTCACCCAAACATCCATGTGAAAAGGACAGATTTGATTTGGAAAAACCTAGACCAGCAACACGGTTGTCTCTACCGTCTATACTATACAGGTATATTTTTTCATTGAACTGTAAATATTGCTATTTTTACACTTGAGTTTGTTGGGTTTTTTTAAACTGTAACGGAAGATACTTGAAGCAACAATACAGAATGCTGACTTAGACGCTCAAGGGAACATAACCTCCTACTGATGCCAGGGCATTAACACATTGAGCTCCTACCAACACTAATGGAAGTGGTACTACGAACTCCCATGCACTGACATTAGGGTACACCTTAAGTTTCATGAAGACATATGCCAGGAAGATTTTCTCTCTGACAATCAAGTCTTCAAATCAGAAAACAATGTTTTATTTCTAGTGCATTCTAATGTGGCTTCAGTAAAAGGTTAGAAACAGTTTGAAATTCAACCATTCATGAGAGGAAGCTCGCTCTGCCTTTTAGACCAGAACTATCATCCTACAATGAAGTGAACTGACATGTGTACAGTGTGAAGAATCACAATCTGTAACGGATGAAACTGCCAGAAAAGGAGAAAATATTGTTTCGTGTTGCAGTTCGGGTTGCATACAATTACGAACCAGATATGCTCAGAGAATTTATAAACTGCAGTATTTTAAATTATATAGCCGAACAACGAAAACAAGTGGTGATACTTTTGACTTGATAACAAACTTAAGGGGAATCATTTCATGTAGATGCTAATACATGTTGCAAGTACTTCGTAGGTTATTTTATTAGACATTTTCTCATACACTTCTGAAAAGATAAATTTTTCTGAGAAACTTAGTGTTGCATCTATTACAAATGCATAGCCAAAAGAGGCCATATTATTTCATTGATTTCGAAACTCCCTCCTGAATTCTTTTTAAAATTAATAGTATAATGAGCTCTGATGTCCCATATCTAAGTGAAAACATATGGCTGACTTTTGAAAAGGAAAGCAAAGCACACCTTCTGTTTTAACACCCAGCCAGAACTCAGGAGAGAACAGGTAAACCTTTAAAACAATTACCAAGGTAATTCATGCTGAGATGTAAAATAAAAAGCTATACAAGTAGTTCCTCACTTACAGCAAATTTGTTGCACTGAGATTATTACAATAAATACCATATAAATCAGTACAATTGGCCATTATTTTGAAGAGTATTCTGACAATATACAAATGGGATAACAGGACACGGGTTTACTTTTTTCTGTTTTAAAAAGAATTGAAGAGGGAAAAAAGATATCCTCACAATAGACTGTAACATGCAGTATGATTGAACTCAAACGCATCAACAATTCCAAAGGAGGTATGCTGCTGTTTCAATCTATTTTTAATTATCAAACTTAATGTAAAATCATGGCAAACATGGCAAAGTCTGGGTAATACAACAAAAAGACCCTGAGCAACATTATAAATAATCTGCAAGAACACTGATTATTTTGATTTTGGAAATCTCCCTTAAACCACTCGATTCATTTTGGTCACTGGGGTTTTCTGTTGACAAAAGGTCAGTGCATCCTGTGGTTTTTATATGAATCCATCACACACCATTTAATGAATGCATCTAAACCAAAGACAGCATCGCAAGAACGTCTGGAAAGTAACGTGTTAAGGAGCGTCCTTCTAGCTGCCAATCAGACATCACTGGGTGATCTTGCTCTCTGAGACAGGTTAGAAGGAATACAGCCACAACAGATGAGCCAAAGTGCTTTCTGTATCTCCTGGTTTCTAAAAGCGTATATTACAGGATTGATGATGGAATTGTAGGTAGCTGGCAGGAGGGTGGCATAGGTGTATATAGAAGGATAGGTGTAATCTGCTATTAAAGAATAGAGTGTAAAAGGCATCCAGCAAGCAGCAAAAGTCCCCAAAATAATGGCCAAAGTAGACACTCCTTTTCGGGTGGTCACATAGTGGGAAGTGGCCAGGAAATGGTGTTGCAAGGCAATCTGATGGGCATGGCGCATCACGATTTTACAGATCTGAATGTAGAGCTGCAGCATGAGGGCAAACATAAGCAAGAAAGACACCGAAAGGACAGCTGCATTATTTTTAGTGAGTGGTCTGATAACACTGCAGGTGGATTCATCTCTGAGGCAGTTCCAGCCCATTACAGGCAGCAGTCCAATACAGACGGATGCTCCCCAGAGCAATATAAGCATGACATAGGTAAAAGTGACAGTCCTCTCTGAATTGTAAGTCAAAGCATAATACAGGGAGAGGTAACGATCAACAGTAATGGCCAGCAAACTGCCAACAGATGCTGAGAAAGAGGCAACAATCAGTCCAATCGTAAGCAGTTTCGTAGCTTCTGATTGCAGAAGGTATGCAAAAACGAAATTGATGATCAATCCAATGCCCGCTAAGAGATCTGCCAGCGCCAGGCTGCCTATCAGGAGGAACATGGGGGCACGAAGACTGGGATTATGGAAAATGATAAGAACCACAATGGCATTTTCGCAGAAGATAAGGGTCCCTGAAGTACACAAGACAATGTCCCAAGGGTTTACCAAAAGCTCTGGCTCTGGGTCTACGACAGGAACCAGGGAGGAGCCTGCAGCTGAGGCATTCTCGGTAAAGCTGGCTTCTACATGATCCTGAGGCAGCCAGCTCAAATTAACCTTCAGATCTTCATTCATTTTAACCCCTGTCTTCTTCAACGGAAAGACATTTTTTTTAATGTTCAGACACAGCACTGGATACAGCACCCCCAGAGCATGCAACGCCCTAGACGGCAACACCAATCTAATGTGCAGGCAGGCACTTGTTACATAAATGTGACAATAAATAAAAAAATAAAAACACAAGGGGAAAAAAATATTTAAAACTGCCCGAGATTATCCGCTGAGGGACTGACACACAGAGGCGGAGTGATCCTAACAGTAATTCCCTTCACCTGCAGAGGGAAGAAGGCAGAGGCACGGGAGGGAGCCCATAAAACAGCTC